CTGAGATAAATTCAAATTAAAAAGAGATAAAACAGAATCCCTAAAGAGCCCCCAAACGACAAAATTTGGAAAATATTGCACGCTTGGTTTCATTTGAGCCTGTTTTCTATGAACCCGGTAACCGTCCCACATCCCTTAGCACCGAGCTTCCCTTTTCCCTTTCATGAGCATATTGTGAAAAATGGCCGTTTTCATTGAAAAAAGCCTACTGTTACAAGTTCAAAATACTGCTAAATGAAAAAACTATGAAAAATGCCTTCAATACTAATTAATTTTCGGCACAAATTTGTTGACTGGGACCCATTGCTTTTTGTAACGACATGCTCAGTTTTAAATTTTCTGTTACCATGGCAACGAGGGACATATCAAAAAATTGCCAAAAATCACTATTTTGCCTTGATTTTTTTCCATCAAAAATTTATTTCAAAGTTGACTGCAACTTCTTCAAGGGGATTGAGGATAGAGTCAGAGGCTTTTCAGCATTGTTACACGTTACCGTAGGATCGACCTGAGGTTCATTTTTATAGCCTCTCACAAAAGTCCAAAATTTTCTTGGATGAGGGGGAACTTGTGGCCCCCTTCAAACCCGCCACACAGAAGGAAGCGCAACCCCCCCCCCCCCTCCTTTCTGGCAACCCCCTGATTGTATCTTTTGGGTATGGGGACGGCGCAGAAAAAGTGCTCACTTTTTTTTAGAAACATTTCTCAAACGAAAACCTTTTTGGGGCCCAAAAATATTTGATCTGATAAGTATATGTCATCCATGGAGCATCTAATGGCCTGGCACATATATCTTTGTAAGATGAATTTATGTGGTTTGAAACGTTATCAGCGTATTTGTTGGTATTGAAAATCAAAGCATTCGTCCCATTGAAAATTGCAAAAAACTCATTTCGAAGATTAGCTTAATCACCCGATTATATTCCTAAATAGTACTTTGACAACTATGTTGTTTTGGTTTCCTAAATTTAAAAAGACAAATATTGGAATATGGTAACGCTGTTCTTGATGAAGAATATGCTCCTTTACGCCAGATTTTATATTTTGTACTTTTGTTTTATACAAAGACAAGATAAATTAATGATTGAGAGAATTCTTTGAAGTGCGTTGATTCTTTCAATGATTTGTTTCATTCTAAATTGTAGACAGATAGAAATATTTTTTTCTGTTTGTGTTTATTGTTGAGAGCATCATAATTAAAATCACCTGTTCATAAAATGTCAATAATATTGAGTCAACAGAAAAGCAAGATATTCTTCAATATTATTCTTATAATCTGTATTTGCGTTTGGAGTATAACATAAAAAAGACAGGATAGGACACGTTTATTATTTTCAAGTTGATACTTCTATCCAAATATTTGAAGCATAACCCTACCATGAGGATAACCACCTATTCGACCGTTACTTTTCGTGTGTTACTGAAAGAATAAAGGCGAAATGTCATCAGTTAACATTGTATCATTAAAGCCATTTTTCCGAGAAAGCAAGTATGTCAAACTCTTGAAATTCAGTAAAGAGAAGATCGAGTTTTATGTCTTACGTTCGGTAAAATTTATTTGGGCTAGAGAAAATGATTCTTAAAATCTTGATGTTATATCTGATTTATAGGAACTTGTAGAAAGAGGAGCGGGGTTTTCATATGTATCTCCAGATTATAACAGAAATATAGAAAACAATGTGTAGATGTTCGTAATAAAGATGAATCTCAGTTCATTAAGTGAAGCACTTGTTTAAAAAACACATTTATTAAAGAGGCCAACTCAAGATTTAACGTAAATACCTCACGCAACATACTTTAATACTGCTAGTTATATGACTTATTTGGTGTCTGTTCCTTTTGGTATTACGGTTTATGTAATAGAAAGAGCACCGAAACACGAAGCTATCAGATTTGTACGAGGGGGCGTAGCCCCCGAGTATAAATCAGATTGCCGAGTGTTTTGGTGTTCTTTCTCTTTTGTATCATAGTCAAACATGACAACACGTTCCCTGTTGTCATAATATGAAACCCCAGAAAAAAATTAACCAATGAACGAGCATTTGAATATTATAGTTCTGCCCCTTTCCTTTCTCTGCCGTCACAATATGTAAACCCCCGGCAAAAATGAACCAATCCACGGGCATTATCTGGAGTGCGGGTAACTGATACCTGCACTCCAGTTACCGCACTGTGCATGTATATGTATACGATTTAACTCTGACACTTTTTCAACAGAAAGGTCTCCAAACTATGATACAAATAAGATGTAGATGATTAAGTTACAGATAATGCAAAATAAGTTGATTATGTTTTTCCTGTATTTGGGCCGAATGATACCATATAGTCATGAACAATGTAACTCGTTACCTACGTACTGTTAGTAACAAGGACCACAAGAGAAATAATGGTTCATTCTTCTTCTTTTTTGTGTTATTCTTAGTACCACGTTTCGTGACATGGTTAAAACTTATGCTGGTATTTTATTTAATCATTTATATTTTATGAATACAACATATTTGTTACCATTGTATGTACTTCGATATCAAAATAAATCTTTACACCAAGAATGATCAGTTATCGTAAATTTTATTATTACATGTTCTGGCAGTCAAATCGAATGTACACATATATTGGCTGTAATCGTGGTTTCTCTGGTTAAACTGGTTGTAAATCTGATTTATCTTTCTTTCTGCGTGTTCTTCGTGTATATATTTTATATAAAATCCTTTTGAATATCTTATTGGTACATGCACCACGTTAATGGGTCTCTTTAAAAGCCTTATGATCAAATGTAGATTCAATCGAAGATAAAAATTAACAAGAGCTTTTTTTAAAATTTATTCAATTAATCTTTAACTAAAATATGTTGATTATTTTTTGTTATTATTTGAAATCTTACTGACACTGTTAAGTACATATGGCGGTTTTCCAGTTTTTACTGATTAAGGAATTGATGATCTATGCATAATCATTTACAGGGACTTCCTTATCATTTACAATGACAAAACTTCGCTGAGTTATCCCGAAATAAATCGATAGCTTTCTCTGTGTCAATAATGCGACTCAAATTCAAAGTCACCGTTATAAATTATACGGCCATGTGTTCATACAAAAATATACCAAGTGTATTTTATATACCGTTTTCTTATTACTGTGAGTTTCTACTTGTCCAAAAAAAAAACAACAATTTAATCTTATTTCATTTTATTGCAGTATATTTTTAAAAGTTCGTATTATTTGTATCTTAGGTTTCAGGTAAATCGATTGGTGCTTTCGGGCTAGTTTGAGAATTCAGTTTAGCGAAACAAGTATCAAACACATTTATTTGTCCATGAGATGAAACTAAATAAAGGGAAACAAACATGGATACTTGCATTAAATATGAAATGTGTATAAAGTATACATGCATTACAACAAAGCAAAGATTAAATAACGCAAATATTTCATTTCTGTCTTTTTAAAAAAAGTTTAAATACCATGATTTATTAAGCATTTTATGTATAGATCTAGTCGATTAGATTTTAAAATAAAAATGTACCGCAGCATTTTACTTCCTTTTTTTGCAGTTATTTATGTTTCTCATGCTGAGTCTTTCTCACAAATGAAATTAATTGAAGTATGACACGGGCAATCGTTCCATTCATAGGCACCATTGTAACCGAAATGTACACAATCTTCATCATTTTTATAATTGTCGGGTTGATTCGGTAACCAGTCAGAGAACGTAGCATGTCTGTTCGTGCCAGCCCATCGCCATATACCTTCATGAGATATGTCATTTAAACCCATCCAGGTGTATTGTGCTGTAAATAAGTTTGAAGGTGCTAAGTAAATGCATCTAATTTGAAGAAATGAGTTAAATGAATAAGGCTTTTTTATATATCTCATTTTCAACACGTTTTGCATTCAATCTAAGAGTAGCTTCGTTATTATCATAAAAAGTTATAATTTTATATAATTTTGCTGACATAAAACATAAGTAAAACATGTACTAGTAACGTGTTAAAACATTTGGGTTTTTCAAATAATCAGGATAAATCATTTGATAAACGTTAATAAATAGTACCTTATATTCTGACAGAAGTTATTGGAATCATCTAATAATTAGAAAAGTATCAGGGGATTTACCTTTGATTTTCTTCAGAAATCCTTTCAGAAAGGTGTTTTCAGCAAACGTTTCAATCTGAACAAGGTCTGCCCCAAGACGTCTACAGTACAGCTGATATGTAAGTCAAGATAGTATACCAAATAAAGATATAAAAAATTCAAATATTTTGGCCTATTTTTTATCAATGGTATTGCATAAATACATGCATTCATGTACGTAATGCTTTGAAAATGTTAGTTGAAAAAGAGACATACAATTAGATAAACTGGCATTAGAGCAGTTCCCGTACATAAGCAGTACCCGTGATATTTTTTTTTCTTGCATTCTTTAAACAAGACATACCAGTGATCACATGTGTCGCATATTGGTAGCGATAACTCAGCCAACAATTATTCAAGCGAAAAAGCCGTGTAGCATGAGCTACTGATCAATCCTGTAATTTCATAAAAGCTTCATTGAAATTACATTAGTGGTAGAAGAGGAGTAGCTTTAAGAATAAAAATCATCATTACAAACCATGACTCTGACAAGAATCAATGAATCGAAAAATGTTGATGAGATGTACAAGTTGTCATTCCTGTAAAGTTTTGATGAATTTGCACCAATAGTTTCTGAGGAATAGTCCAGTCAAGCTTCTGTGTAGCTGGCAACAGAAAAAAACACTTAAATGCAAGGGCCATAACTCATTAAGAATATTTCAAGCGGATACCTTGTGTTTTGTGCGCAAGTACTTGAGCTACAAATCAATACTGTAAAGTTTCAATGAAATTGCATTAGTGGCATAAGAGGAGCAGTCTGAACAATCTTTAAAAATAAAAATACTTAAAGGACCATAACTCAAACAAAAATCATTGGACAATTAAAAGTTGATAATATGCTAGAATTAGTACTGATCATGTATGTAAAGTTTGGTTGGAATTGCATCAGTAATTTCTGAGTAGTTCGGAAAAACTTCTTTTTATCTGGCAACACAAAAAAACACCTATTTTATTCAAGGATTATAGTTCGGCCAAAATCATTCAACAGCAAAACATGTGTAAAATATGCGCAAGTACTACATATCAATCCTATAAAGTTTCATGGAAATTGCATTTGGAGTTAAAATTCAAGGGTAATAACTCTGACAAAAAATATATTGACGTCAAATGGCGATTGTATGCACAACTAGACTTGGTGCTGATCATTTGAAATAGCACCAGTAGATTTTGAGGAGTTGTCCAGACAGGTATTGTGACGGATGAACAGACAGACAGACGGACGGACAGACAGACAGACGACGGAGAAGTGATCTCTATATGTCACCACTTCATTGCATGTGAATGCGTTGGGATACGGTACCGGGTAAGAATACCAGTGTAAGGTCCACGCTGTATTTCCTGAATGGCACATCTATTTACCTGTGGAGAAAAGTCTCTTTAACGATCATTAACTAAAAGAGGACTGACATAACAACATTGTATGATTATCCTGGGTTATGTTTTTATGTATGAAAATTACTTCTCTTTGTATAAAACAATGAGTAATTTCGGTAACTTATATTAGGCCTCATAACTAAAAGTTATTCTAAATTAAGAACATATTGAGATGTTACGAGACGAAAATCAATCTTTGGCGAGAGAGCGTATTAAAATATAGTTTTTTAAGTTATTACAATTTTTGAACGGAAACTACTCGCAAACCAGTAGACTTATGTTTGGCTTACGGTGATGAAATTTACTTAAGAAATGTGATATGGTATAGATTAATCTTGGTGAATAATGTTTTGTATGTTTAAAAGTTCCGAACGAAAATGTCTCTAGTTTAACAAAACGAATTATGCAAAAATATCATTGATTGAAGGAGTCATTTAAACGATTTTGAAAAACATCTGCATTAAACTTGTACAGTTTGTTTTATAAAAGACCATTAACGCATTCGACGACTGCATAAAATTGTAGATTAAAGTGTACATACCCTTGCTGCAGAAAATGACAGATGTATATCCATATCAATATAGTAACAATGCCCGTTATATGCAAACCAACCATCTTTACAGCAAGCTAGTTAATTCAAAGTTAAACACAAATAATGCATTTATTTAGATTCTAGCAACAACAATTTGTTCACATAAAAACGACCCCCCAAAAAATACATAAAATGTATCAGGCGGACGGAATGAAGTTTATTCTGGTTATATTTTCTGGTTCTCTGGGATCATAGATTCCAGCACTTTTAAATGTTGAAAATTGAGTACCGCTCAAGTCGGTAATTGGCCCATGGGGCATGAGAGAAGTTGCACTTTTTCATTAAACCCCATGTACAGACTGAACCAAGCCAAGTCTGCAATTTTCATGTAATTTGCTGTTATTAATGGTTCCGATGGATCACTTTTTCCATCATATTTAGTTAGGAAAAAAGTACGATGTAAATGAAGATCTACTGAGTAGAAGTTTATTCCTCCCTTACACATTGAATATTGATGTTATAAATTCAAAGAATGGCAATCCATCAGTTTAAGAGTTAAATACATGGATTCAAGAATGACAAAAATCATCTTTAATATCTTTGCACGCTACATGAAACATTGATACAAAAAATCTCTAAATATAAACTTCAGTTTCATGATATGTCAAGTAAAAAGAATAATCTTTTATAATTAAAAAATAAATAATGAAAATATAAAAATCATATATTAAGAATTTACTTTCTCCTTTATGTAATAACGTCTTTTTTATGTTTACCTGCACTGATTGTTGGTATCAGGCTTGTAATAACGAGCAAAGTTGCTAAACTAAACGATGACCTCATCATGCAAATAACTTGAAATGGTACAATATTCCTAAAAAACGTTTTTGTACCATATAAATCCCAACAGATTAGTTCATTCAATATGCTTTCAATTAATAAGCAACGTTAAGTAAATCATATTTTTGAAGAAGAACATGTTTTTAGAATTATTGAATAAATAGCATCAGCAATAAAAATAAACTATATGTCGAAGCATTACGCTGTATTAAAAAACAACAACAACAAAAAACAAGAAAATCCTATCTTAATAATGACAAGTTGACAAAATAATTATCATATAAATAAAAATGAAAATAAGAAAATATTAAGGTATTAAAATACATGTATGATCATTCATGCTAATTTACTTACGTACTTAGAGTACACCTTATCCTCGCTAGTGCTGCTGGTCAATGTTTACTTGCTACGTATAATTATACTATAATACCCCGACAAAATGTTTTCAAATGAATTCATGGATTCTTACTGATCATTTACATACATACACGTAACAAAAAGGTAAGTTTTAGTTATAGTAAAGTAACTAAATAGTAATCAAAGAATGTATTTTGCATCGTCAACTATTACTTATATGTTATCTTTAGGGAAAAAATATTGTAAAAAATAACTTCTCGTATTTTGTGCTATAACTTTTTAACATATTAGAGGACAAAATTACTTTAAAAGCAATTTAGATTTCTTCCTTGATCATTTTGTATAGATATGATTTTAAGAAAATTCTTAAAATAAAACAGCTGAAAAAAAGCTTATACCAAACAAAGATGAAAACAATGTAAAATGTAAACAAAGAAACTTTTTGACAGGCTATTGCGTTCTTAAAAAATGCAGATTTTAATACAAAACAAGGCAAACAAACAAAAACAAGACTGAAAGATTACACACACACATATCTAAATTCTATTTAACTCGAGCAATGAGCATTGAGGTTACTGGTAACATTCTGTACAAGCTTTATCTACCTAATCTAAATAATAGAACACTATCTACAAAATACAGGCACACGTACACATACGTCGTCAGATAAGACTCTGTATAATCTTATGTTTACTAAACTCGGCGACCACCTTACTGAGATGATTTTTTGACATTCACTGACAATATTGGTGGTGAAATACCTCAGTCTGGTGAACCTTTATGCATAATTGGCATCTTGAGTTACGTCCGTTTCATTGTTATGATATAATGCAGCGCCAGTAGCGGACGCTAGCGTAAAATACAAAAGTTGTTTAGTTGATAATTGATTATTTTTATCATCAGTGAATGACTGATACTCAGTTTGCAAGTTAGTTGTAGTTTAAATATTTTTCCTTGCCTCTTTTCTAATGTGTGAATGTTTATATTTAAATAGAAAATATCAGATGAAAATACTGGTGTGATGCTACAGTAAAGCAAAGTTGATATGTAATGTAGAAAAATATGATATCATTTTTCATTCATATTTTGAGCATATATAAAAATGAAAATAAATTTTAAAATTGAAATAGATAATTCCCGAATTGAACACTATTTTATTAAGCTACATTGTCTTAAGTGCAGCCAATTTTGGATATCAGTACGAATAAATCATGTTAACAACTGATTGTGGTAAAATGTCAAATTATTTTATACATATGAAGTCATATATTAATATAGCACAGCTATATGTAAACAATTTTTAAACCGCTCTTCTACTAATAAATAATGAACAGGAAAAAAAAAACGCATGATGTTCTACTCAAAGTTGTGTTGTTTTCAGAAGTCCCTGTATTGTGTAATAAGATTAACACGAATACCTGTTCGTACACAAATGTAATATTTACTAGAATATAAAATGAATGAAGATAAAATAAATAATGATATTAATTGCATTCTTGTTATAATGTTTAAATTGTAATTACATATGTTTTTTTTAAATACCAACAATGCACTTTACTTAAATGTTAACCAGTAATAGTAATAATCAGTGGTATTACTTGAAACTCAAATAAAAAAAAAGTAGCACTAATTTAATTACAACATAAATTATTTATTGATATACTTTATATTTCCGCTCTTCAGCAATTACAACTCATACAACATGAAGTATATCTAAACGATTTACATATGATACATGATTATGACAAATGTGTATATATATTAATTAAACAGACATATTTAAGTTCATGTTAAATAGTTTAATATACAGGTATAAGCTTCTATAATTATGATTATATTTCTATATGTGATAACATTATTTTTATTTTCTGTATTTGAAGAACATTATTTAGTTTGTTTATATAAATTCATTCCTCTTCTATCTGTGTTTTCAACTTTTAATGTTAAACAATATGTTATCTCTTTGTATGATGAAATACATCTGTAATACTATCTTTACTTGAATTTCTATCGATAATAAATAATGTCATTATCTTATTACCTGATGTTGTTCAATGTAGCGTTGACACTAGTTATAAATTCGTCTATAACAACTGCCCCTTATCTTTTGAAACAACATCCAGGTCAGAAATAATATCGACAAGTTCACCCAGATTCCTCCCCTCTGACGTTATAAGAATTATTAAATTTGTTAATAACATCACTTTACCTTTCTTTTTGCAACGGCATTGTTACCAAAGCCTTAATCAAAGTCATATTGTTGTAGATCTACATGTATGTCTGATTTTATTGTATGTTACAAATTAATGGTGGCTAACAGAGCGCCATATTTACCAATATTGCATTGGTTGAAAATAAATCAATGTTAAGGTCAAACTGCTTAGTTACGAATGTAAACACGATGCAGAGAGTACCAATACAGTGAAACTTTGACTATATTTACCTTCGTCATGCTGCTCTATGAATTTTAAGGGAAAGATTAACCCGACAGAGCTCCTTTGACACTTTAATTGATGGTTTATTGAGTTACTTTCCGATCGGTTAAAAAATCAATATTAACCGTACGTTGCCTAGAGTCGGCGTGGTTCGTTAACAAGTAGTAAGGCGGTAATTTTGTTTGATCTTCGACTGCTTCTCAGAGATCGAAGAACAAAAAAACGCCGACCGTACGATAATCTTTAGATTATGAAAATCTGCGACGTTCGATAATACACCTCCAATATCTTACGATCGACGTACGACAATCGTACGATAAAAATTGTCGTACTCCCGTTGATAAGACGTGCCCCTGAAGAGCAAATATTTATTTTCAGTATTACATTTATGTTTATGCCGGTGTTGCATACATTGCTGCATATGTAACAAAATCTCATCGAGGTATGAGTGAACTTATGAGAAATGCTGCATCTGAAGCACGTAAAGGTAACTTGGATGTTAGACAACAAGTAAGAGCTATTGGAAATAAGTTCTTAAATGCAGTGGAAATCAGTGCACAAGAAGCTGTGTATATCTGCTTAGGCTTGCCTATGAGAAAGTCTACACGTCAAGTTATATTTTTGAATACCTCGCCACCTGATGAAAGAGTATCTCTACTTAAGCCTTCTGATGAACTCGACAAATTAGATGATGACAGTGAATACATTGAATGCTCAGGAAGATATGCAAAACGTCCATAATAAATTGGCAACATTACACTTGCCAACTTTGTAGCTACCTATAATTCAAAGAACAGAGGAACTGTTGTGTCTGAATAACAGATGAAGATTTATTACCTAAAAGTACTACATCAGATAATTACGTTTACTCTCCATTGAAAAAAGCACAATCATCTATACAAAATTGTCAAAACGGCAAGAATAATTAGATTTGTTCACTTTAACCCAAATTCATATGAAGGAAAAAATGTAGAGATGACATAAAGAAGGAAAGTATGAAATATGAGCCATATATAAAATCAAATTGATTAGGCAAAGAAACGTCTCAATGAAGACACAGATGTGCAGAAAAAATAGGATACTGTTGCTCCTAACAGAAGGCAAAAATGGCTTACCAGAACGTTCTGTACCTCCCACTGTTGGTGTCGATCAGCAATATGATATTGGCCAAGATTTAGGTTTACCAGCGTCTTTTCTACATGTAGTCTAGAAAAGAAATATGAAACTAACAAACTTCCCGACAATGAATATAGGCAACAAATGAAGTCACTTTATATTGAACAAATAGAATCTGTTAATGATATAATCTTCCAAATGTAAGCATCTGATAAACCAGTTTATCGCTTCCTGAGTGGAGGAGCTGGCTGTGGCAAAACCCATGTCTTAAAAGCTCTATATCAAACTGCTGTCAAATACTACAACAGTGTTCCTGGCAAAGATTTTTCTACCAGACCTGTCCTACTCATGGCACCAACAGGAAAAGCTGCTTATCATATAAGGGGTAGTACAATTCACAATGCTATGAAGATTCCTGCAAATCAAAAGTTGGAATACAGGCCCCTACCATCCAGTACATTAAATACATTTCGAAATGAGCTTGGTGATCTAAAACTTATCTTCATAGATGAGATCTCAATGGTTGGCTTTAGGATGTTTAATTTCATCCATCTTCGCCTCCAAGATTTAAAATAATCTCAAGAAAACTTTGGGGTTATATCTTTTATTTTCATAGGATACCTTTTCCAGCTGATGCATATATTTTTCAATAACCAACCAAAGAGTTCTTACTTGTTAATATGTGGTATTATTAAACATTTTCCTGTGTACGAATTAACTCAAATAATGCAGCAAAAAACTTAAGATGTCGCTCAACTTTTGAATAGGCTAAATAAAGGTTATCACACTGATAAGGACATTATCACCCTATTCAAATATCACCAATTATGACAATTGTATTGTCAACCAGCAATGTGATATTTATTACGCGTGATGCATCATACTTACACGTATTTAACACCAATGACAGAGTAAACTTAAACAACGTTGCATTCATCAAAATATTCAGTTCATGAAGTTAAAGCTCTTGAAACATTCATAGACGAACTAAGGAAAAAGATCACTGACTCATTTCTAAGTACAGCAAATGAGCAGTAACCAAACATTGTCCATTTTGTTGAAGGTTGTAATCACTGATGGTCTTACAGATGGTTCCACGTGCACTCTTATGAAAATCAATCAAAGTAGCAATAAGCATGTAGGTTCAGTTTCGGTTAAATTCAATGACAGTGAGACAGGACAAACTGCGCATCTCTCACTCAACAAAGGATTATGATAGGTCTTGGACACCATTACCTCCTGTTTGGCGACACTTATGTTAACATCTTGTAATTGCATCGATTAAGATTGTTGCTTCAATGTCCAGTCACAGACTGTGTGTCGGGGTATTCATATGTTTGTGAAAATCAAATGTGCCAGGTTTCTGTAGCTTATATGTATGCGTTAAAACTATGGAACAGTGTCCATTGACATTGATCCTAAAATTAAGTCAGATGTTGGACCTCTACTGATAGACTTTTTCTCTCATTTAATAATTGGGCTTTCGTATCCTAAAACCTAAAAATATAGAGCCTTTGGCATAAAACTTGAGACACTGTACAGTAATTGATATTATTTACTCAATTCCATCTATG